TTCCAGCCAAACTCTTTTAATTAAAGAAACATAAAAGAATGAAACATAAAAGCATTCAATATAAAGATGTGAATTAAAAGATATTCTCATACACTGTGGAACTACAAATGGATATAGTAATTTTGTTGTATATCTAAGTATTCTCTGCCCAAATTGAAAATTTAAACATATATTTCCTATGATCCAGAAAAGAAACAAAATTAGAAGAAACCCTATTGATCATCAAAACTGAATACTATTTACTAAGCAGAATAAGCTAAGTTCAAAAGCTTGACCAGAATCATATATCCATGTGATTCAGGCTAAAGCTGGGGGGCTTTGTGGGAACAGTTTCTATTCTAATATAAAGCCTTCATAGACTACCTTTCAGAGGTAGCTTCTCTCCCTGCCTTCCCTCATCCCTTTCATTTTCCATTAATTTCTGTCATGGTATTATTTCCTTCATAACTCTTAATATAATTTGTAATTTTATTTTAAACTTTTTTCTCCCTCACACCTACAAAATTCTAGGCCCCATTAAAGACCTTGCTTATCATATAGCAATATCATAAGGACCTGATATATAGAAGGCTCTCAAACAATTTATCAATAAGTTAAAGAATGAGTGATATTAATAAATATTATACCTTTTATGATCTTATAATGCTCAACCAAGAACCATTTAGTAAGTGGCACCATATTTCTAAGTTTGAATGTAGTCATTTGGATCATAAAATGAAAGTAGAAAATACAAAATTTTCTTTTTGCCCAAATAAATTATTTGTCTTGGCCTAAAGACATTCCTCCAGTAACATTACCACCACACATGGCAGTTCATGCGTATGTTCTTGACATCATGTTCTATTTTTTATTGTATTAAGCTTTTTAAGGATTAAAAATATATAATATATTGTACTGCTCCTCGAGAAATTTATAATCTGTTTGGGAAACCAAGATAGATAAATGCATGTAAGGAATCATGGATTGAAATATAATGAATATGTAATTAACTATTGAATAATGCTATAAACAACAAATTATTAGACCCTAAATTTTACCTCTATGATTCAATTTCCTCAAATGTAACCGCTGAAAGAAAAAATTCCAAATAAATGAATGTTTTCATTTGGTATTAATATGGTATTAATAATCTTCCCAAAGCATACTAAAATAAGCCAGGCCACTCAGAAAAGACAAACTGATATTTTTAAAACATATTATTCAAAGGACTTGATTTTGGATTCATTATTCTTACTTAACTTTTGCTGTAAATTCTTAAACATGGAGGAAACTCTATCAGGCTTGTCAAATTAAAGAGTATTTCTTGGCCAAAAATGCCGTTGCTGTGACTCACACACTTTATTCTTTGGCTAGGCCAGTATTAAGCATTATTCAGCACTGTGTTATGAAAGGTGGAGAACACAAAAATTCTTTTCCTGAAAGATGCAAATTAAGAGATAAGATGCAAACAAATTGGAATGTCAAACAAAACAAAATGAGTTCTGGTTTTCCTGTTGTCAGTGCAAAGATGTTGAGTACCAAAATACAAAACAAAATGTAAGAATTGCTTTGTGCATTTGGGCGAGGGGGGGGTACTGGGGATCGAACTCAGGTCCTTGCACTTGCGCAGCAGGCGGTGAAACCACTGGGCTAAATCCCCAGCCCTGTGCATGTTTGTTTTTATTATGTAATATGTGCAACAGATATGTATGGTCTAACTTTCATCCCACAAGGGAGACTTCTGCTTTCTACTTTACTCATTTCTGTATTCTTAAAATATTTATATCTAGCCCTGGACTACATGTAATCTATTATAGTGTCTATATATATGCTCTTTCTATCTATATACATAAAGACTCCCTATGTGTACTAACCTCTTGGGAAGTATCAGCCCAACATGCTGAAGTCATTGTTATAGAGAAGTACTATGAGTTTCTGTATTAGAAAAAATTGTTAAAATGTAATTGAAGAAATGAAGAACACACTAGTGGATGCTATGGTCTAGATATGAGATAAGTGTAGCTATAAAATACAGCAGGAGGAATCTTTGTGGTGATGGAATTGTTCTGTGCCTTAGTCACACCAAAGTCAATATTATGGTTGTAATGTCACACTACATCTTTGAAAGACATTCCCATTTGGGGAAACTAGGTAAAGGGTACAAGAGATCTCCCCATATTATTTTTTAAAATCACATGTGAATCTACAATTATCTTAAAAGAAAAAAATTTGAGAAGGCATAGTAACATTATAACTAATTGAATGTAATAGGACGCTATTAAGTCTATACTAGTATAAATAAATGAATAAATGGGAAAAGACAAAGCTTTTGCTTGCAGAAGAATGCTTTCTTTGGGAGCAAAAATGAATTAGAAATTGATCATTTGATTAATCAGGATGATTAATGTGTTCAATAAGTATCAGTGGATGTTAAAACTAGACATTAAATGTGATGAAAACCAAGATATTTATGTAATTCTTACCTCTCTATAAAATGCTTATTACGTATTTTTAAAATGAATTTTCTTCACAGTGGAGAAACTTGGCAGACATTGCCTTAGTCACATAACCAAAATTAACATCACCAGTAATTCAACAAATCCCCATGTACTGCTTGAGAGGATGCAGTGAGAACTACAGCTGCACTTCCATCTTCTTCTGTCAAAGGTACGAATCTAACAAGGAATAAATGACAGAAATACCTAAACTGAGGGACATCCCCAAAATGACCTGTGATCTTTGAGTGAAAAGGCCATAAAAGTCAAGAAAAGACTGACAGACTATTCAAGATGAAAGAAAACAACCAAATATAACCATGATTCTGGAACAGATCCTTTTGCTTTAAAGGATAATACTGGACAAATCGGTGAAATTTGCATGGGATCTTTGAATTAAATGTAGGTTCTGTTTCCGTGTTAATTTCCTGATTTTGATGGATGTATTGAAATGGACACATGGACAAAAATGTGTGTAGACATTAAAGTAAAATACTTAGGAGTGTTGGGGCATCATATTGACAATTAATATATTGTTCAGGAATTCTGAAGCCTTTTGGAATTTCATGGCTGTATGTTCTGTAAAACTGTAAAGCTTTTCCATAAGTGTGAGACTGTTTCAAAATAAAAATTATCTTTAGTATAAAAACTCAAGAGAGGATTGCCTTTGCAGGCTAGAGCTGGATTAAGAGATCATGTACCAAATTTGTCCTTCATCTTCCAATGAGTATTCATATCCAAATGAGGACAGCATGATTGAAAACGGGATGGTCTAAATCAAGGTTTTTCTATAAAGGGCCAGATAGTAAATAGCTTAGATTAGGAGTCATACAGTCTCTGTTACAATTCAACTCTGACATTATGGTATATATGTAATCAGAAAGAAAGTATAAACTAATGTATGGCTATGTATAAAAAAACTTTATTTATGGACACTGAAATTTAAATTTCATATAATTTTCATGTATCTCCAATACTTCCCTGTTTCAAAAAAATGTATCATAAATTACATAAAAATATGGGTGGATTTTTCAGGGGCAGTGGCACACACCTGTAATCTCAGGACTCAGGGGCTGAAGTGGGAGGATCAAGTTAGAGCCCAGACTAGGCAATTTAGCAATTTAGCAAAACTTTGTCTCAAAAAATAAAAGGGGCTTGGAATGTAGTTCAGTCCAAAGGCCCTGGGTTCAATCCCCAATATCCCCCCTACACCCCACAGGTGGATTTGACCAAGGGGCCTTAGTCTGCATATTCTTGTTTTATAATTTCAAAAGATTACATATCTCACCTTTAAACAGGTTATTAGTAAATAATCTGTAAGTTTGAACCTTATAACTTTCAGGGAAGAATTAGAGGATTTGCTATGCAGACTACACAAGATACGGGTGAATGCTAGAATGTGAATAGACTCGGCTTAGGTAGAGTCAGGACATGTCCTGGTTCCCTGTTATGAATATTTCTTCTGTCAGATGGTCTCTAAAGCCAATCCCAGTCACAAACCACCCCATCTTAACACATTAAAAACATTTAATTCTGATGAGTGTTTGGGATCAAGTGAAGCTCACTTGGCTATTTTTCTTAACTTGGTGGAGTAAAGGTACAGAATTAATGTTTCTACCATTTTTATGTAAGTGCAAATTCCAGAGTTAAGGAGAGGGGCTAGAAACAATATCACACATTTAAAATATTTCAGAGGTTGAGAGACTATGAGAGGGGAGATGAACAGTGGAATCTAAAGCTATAGTTAATTGGAAAAGAAAAAGGGAAGACGGATAGGAATCATTAGCTGAATGAGTTAGGTTAGGTCCTGAGCCTAGAAGCCTAGAAAATCATGGTTTTACTAATA